GTTTTTAAACATTTGCAGAATGAAATTAACAGATTAGAGAAACAGGCTTTTGTAGATCAAAATGCAGACAGAGCCTCAAGGCGGACATTTTCAACCTCAGCAGCCCGATTTCAGTCAGACAAGTACTCATTTCAAAGATTTTATACTTCATGGAATCAAGAAGCAACAAGCCATAAATCTGAAAGGCAACAACAAAATAAAGAAAAATGCCCACCCTCAGCTGGACAGACTTACTCTCAACGGTTCTTTGTTCCTCCCACTTTCAAGTCAGTTGGTAATCCAGTTGAAGCACGTAGGTGGTTGAGACAAGCTAGAGCAAATTTTTCAGCTGCCAGGAATGACCTTCATAAAAATGCCAATGAATGGGTATGCTTTAAATGTTACCTTTCTACCAAATTAGCTTTGATTGCTGCTGACTATGCTGTGAGGGGAAAGTCTGATAAAGATGTAAAGCCAACTGCACTTGCACAAAAAATAGAGGAATATAGTCAGCAACTTGAAGGACTGACAAATGATGTCCATACTTTGGAAGCTTATGGTGTAGACAGTTTAAAAACAAGATATCCTGACTTGCTTCCTTTCCCACAGATTCCAAATGACAGGTTCACTTCTGAGGTCGCTATGAGGGTAATGGAATGTACTGCCTGTATTATAATAAAACTTGAAAATTTTATACAACAAAAAGTGTGAAAGTATTAAAAAAAAAAAAAAAAAAAAAGTAGAGCTACATCGTGAATGAATTGCTATCCTTCCTGACTTCATTGCCACTTATTGAGGAATTGTAGATTGTTTGAGAAGAATTTTGGAGTTCTTAGGAATATTAATATTCCTAAGATTCTGACAGAATCTAAAAGAAAATTATTTTTAAGATGATGATGAACTGAAAAATTGCTAGATGTATTTGAATGACTAGGATCGCACCATATAGAACTGCACTTTACATCATCAAAGCTTAGCAGTTTGTTAGAAAAGAATATGTGTTTAGGATGAATTTTATGTTTTTAACATGATACTTTTGAAGGGGCTAATGAAACACTGGAATATCATTACTTTAAACAAAAAGGGGGAATTAGGTCTTGGAATTTTATCCTTTATTTTAATGGATCCTCTTGGATGTGCTGTTTTCTTATCAGCTGGATCTGATTATGAATTTGTTGCAATTTTACATCCTAAACACTCAGTACATTTGAAAAACGGTACCATATTTTATTCCTGAATATTACTTGATTTAGAATAGGCAGATAGTACTTCCAGGGTGCACTGAGTGCACATCGCATCTGTATTCTAAAAGTTTTTACACCTTATGTTTACAGGTTTCCTCTTTCAGAAGATAGCATATGGGAAACTCAAAATTGTGGCAGTTCTTATCACCAGATGTTATTATATTGCTTCCAAGAACTGCGTACCAAAACATTTATCAACTGGTAGAACATTTGTTTTAAGTTTGTATGTATTTTCCACAAATGTCATAATTTATGTAGTGTGGTTGAATAGGATGCAATCTTTTGTTGTCTAAAGGTGCTGCAGTTAAAAATCTTATGTCTTAGATTTTACTTTGAAAAACATTGAAAAAAATGTATTGTGACAATATTCAGTAGTTTATAAAAGAGTAATTATCAGCTTGTATTTTCCCTATGAGTGATTCTAAACTGACAGCTAAATTATGTTTGAATGTCCTGCCATAGGTATTTACTTAACATATTTCTTTTGGAGAATGTAAAAGAAAGGTAATAATTAGTTTAAATATGTGTGCTGGCTATAAATGATGCTAAATATAATATTTTGTGCAATTAAGGACTTATAGAACATTAAAACTTTTTTACTTTTATTGGTAATAAGGAATGCACCGCAACGATTCTGGTTGTGAAGCCCCGTAATTATTTCTGCTGTTATATTAAGTGCCATAATTTTAATAAAGCAAATATTATATATGAAATCATTGTGACTGGTATTTTCTGAGAAATAGTTCATTGAAAATAAAACTTAATATATCCCTATATTACGTTTTGATATGTGTATTGTGTATATGAGTTTATAGGAAATATTACAATTAAGTTTCCCTATATTTTTATCCTGGAATTTTAGTAGGTTTCTTTTGTATGATTGAATATAAAGTACAAGGTTTATAAGGTTGTTATTGAGTAAAAAGTTTATTTTACTTTACATTTTAGGAAATAAGATTAGTTGTTTTATATAGTATATTCATGTGGGGCAAAAGTAGATTTACAGTTGTGAATATGTAAAAGTTTATTCTGTATTATTATTTATTAATAGTATTATTTTCCATAAAAACAACTATCAAGCTACTTTTGCCCCACCTGTATATTTATGGATTTGAAAATAGATACTTTAAATATGGTTCTTCTGTAGGTAGTGGCTGAATTGATATTTTTCTTGTCTCAAGAGAGGGGTTCATATTTGGGGCTAATTCACACGTGAGCCCTCACATGTAGGAAATGTTCATCTTTATATCTGAGATGCAAGTCTTCAAAGTTAGACAGAGCAATGCTGCAAGTTCTGTTTTCTAGGACTACCCAGATTCTGGATCTTCAGCTTTCTGGGCGTTTTTAAAGAAGTATTTGCTACTTTGGAATTCAGTTTCAGCACTTAGAATGTATTTTATTGCTTTAAGGTATTAAAACTTACACAGGAAACCTTGTCTAGCCTTTATGATAGTTGATCCAGTTGGAGTTTTATGGGGATTCTTTTTTTAGACTTTCTTTTAAAAAATATTTATGTTGATAGTATTATAGATATCTGCCATTCTACACCCACCCTTCACCCATCTCCCAGCCCCTTCACACCCCTTAATGTCTTCACTAACCTATTGCCCGTGTCCCTGTAGACTTTCTTTTTTTAAAAGTTACAGGTTCAGCCCTAGCCTGTGTGGCTCAGTTGGTTGGGTGGGTGTCCTGTGCGCCAAAAGGTTGCCAGTTTGATTCCTAGTCAGCACACATGCCCAAGTTGTGGGCTCAATCCCTGGTAGAGGGCATGTAGGAGGCAGTTGAAAGATGTTTTGATCTACATCTGTGTTTCTCTTCCTCTCCTCTCTAAAAATCAATTTAAAAATTTGAAATAAAGTTACAGGTTCACAAATCTTTGTATGAAACCCTTGGATTAAGTTCTAGGATGTTTTTAATGTAGCATTCTCATTAGGGTTGATGCTTTTGCAGTGAAATCTGTGAATGTTCACACCAAATTGAATACATAGATCAGATAAATAGCCTGGTCTAAATTTAGGTCAGGTTTTGCTACTGACATTTGGGAAATTTTCATTTGGGGAGCATTTAGAATTTGAAATTCAAGGCGAGAAATTTTAGGCCTTAACTAATTATCTTAAGATTTTTCTTTCTTTTCCTCTGTTATGCTTTTTGTATTAAAAGAGAAATGGAAACTCAACCTGTACATTAGCTGCTCCTGAGTAGCATGCAGTGTAGTACGGTTGGAACAGGCTTCTGCCCTTGAGCAGGTTCTGCCAGGTTGGAAAGTTTCCTGGGCAGAAGGGCTGAATTGTTCATAGCCTCCATGAGAAAACTAGTGAACACCTGCACAGTCCAATTAGTTTAAACACCAAGCTGGAGGGGGAGTGCGGCGTGCTGAGAGCCCAGGAGTGTTGTTGGTAAATGTTCAAATTGTGTTTAATAAAATAAAGTTGTTTCCAGGTCTGATTGGGGATGGGTGGGATTTTCTTCTATCTGCAAGTTTGCTGTACTTTTTTTTTTTAGATGTCAAGAATTTGTAGTGCTTGTAGAAAATAAGAAATAGAAAAGATTTTAACTAGTCACGTATTAATCAGGGGTTGCAATCAATTGATACTAAATATTATTTCACAAACCAAGAGTCTGATTTTATAAAGTTACTAGAGGCCCAGTGCACAAAATTCATGCACAGGTAGGGTTCCTAGGCCTAGTCGGTCATCAGGGCCAATTGGGGTCTTCAGGCTGCCGCCCTGGACCTCCCTTCATTCCACACTGCCCCCTGGTGGTCAGCACATATCATAGCGAGCAATTGATCTCACAGTCGAATTCCTGTAGGGACAATTTGCATATTAGGCATATATTAGGCATTGTGTATATGTAAGTACACAGGATGGACAGTTATGAGTCCTACCACCTACTAGCTGTTTATGACAAAACACATTTGGACTTTAGTTCTTTCATTTGTCAAAGGAGTATTATTCCATCTACACATTTATGTAGATTGGTATTTTGGATGGAATGAAACAACATACCAAAGTTTTTCCATGTGAAAACAGCTGTTCAAATGTAGGGTCACAATTTAATTTCCAGTAGATATTATATGACCTTGTGACTTATTCTACCTGAACCATTTTTATCACCAGTAACTTGGGGAAAATAATACATACCTCAAAGAGTTGTGAGGATTAAAGAAAATAAGATGCTCAAACTGTGAAGTTTGGGGGGAAATGTAAGCTGATTTTTATTGCTCGTTGACTATAAAGAAAGCATGATTAATTTTGTATGATTTATTCCTTTGACTACATATTGAAAATCAGATCAACCTTAAAGCCCATTTAAAATATGAACATTTTCTTGCAAAATAGAGGACTCACAGGTTTGAGTGATATAATAAAAATACATCATAGAACTTTGGGTCATCTTAGTATTGACTAATGCTACTTTTAAGGGGAGTTAGATAGCCACAACTGGACATCATAAATTAACTCCACACAGCAATTCACTATTTCATTATAGATTGACATGTACAAGAAAGGGAAAGAAAATTCACGAGATTCTTATAAAATCAACCTAGTAACATCCTTTTGTCATTTCTTTGGCTTTTGCATCTACCACCCACACAACATTCATCTGAACCCTTTCATTGGCACAGTTTTCTTTCCAAGTTCTTTTTGAAGTGTGTCCTACTTCCATCCACCACCTCAGTTTTCCAGGGTGTCCGGTTGCTCTGAAGGCTTGAAGGCTTGAAGTCTTTAAAGTTCACTGAAACAAGGCAGATTCTCCATGAAAGGTGTGGGTGGTTTAGGTACAGATGTGACTGTGTTCATGACATGTGGTACTTGTACCAGCCACAGACAGGTAAAGCTTCCCATCTGGACACACACAAATTTCATAGAGTCTTTGTGAGCTGCCAGCAGGACCCTGAGTCCCCTGAACCAACTTGGGTAAACATACAGTTTCAGTATCAAGCACAAGCTGTTTGGGAGAAAATGAGAGATTAATTGGAAAGGAGGAATGAACATGATAAGCATAAAATTCATATTCTCAAAATTCTCTAAACATTAGTTTTTCTCAGCATAGAAAATGAAATAAGCACCTGCTTTTACTTGTTATAATTATCTGAATCTTTTATAGCCTATTTCTATTTTACATTCAGGCAAAGTGTTAATAATTCTCCAATTTGGAGTGAAATCATATTTACTTTTACCCATTGTACCAGTTGAGCTAGGAAAATTTATAATGCTACACTCACAAAAATGCCTTTCAGAATTACCTAACAAAAGCAAAACTAGAATTCTTTTGCTGATTCACATATATCTTGTGATCCACTTTGACAGCTCCTCCCTATTCCCTATTAGGATAAATTGCAAGCCACAGAAATAGATTAAATATTTTTTACCTGTGAATGTTGGAATTTCTCCTGACTTTATTTTCTGTGAAAGGCAATTACATTTATCCTATTAGCTATCAACTATTTCCCTAGCTTTAAACATATTTGAAACTCCTGCTTTCTATTAGATGCAGAAAAGCAGTAGAATAAAAAATAAAAGCTACTGAATTTTGTGTTCCTATTATAGTTAAACTGAAATGCAAGCAAATGGCCATTGGTTGAGATTTGGAAAAGTTTTTGATAACTGAAGGCAATAAGAATTGTCGCACTGAGCCGAGACCGGTTTGGCTCAATGGACAGAGCGTCGGCTTGGGGACTGAAGGGTCCCGGGTTCGATTCTGGTCAAGGGCATGTACCTTGGTTGTGGGCATATCCCCAGTAGGGGATGTGCAAGAGGCAGCTGATCGATGACTCTCTCTCATCGATGTTTCTAACTCTCTATATCTCTCTCTTCCTCTCTGTACAAGAATCAATAAAATATATTTAAAAAAAAAAAAAAAGGTGGCACTGAGCTGCAAACAGTACCTATCCTAGGGTCCTCACTTCTTAGAAGGAATTAAAGCATGTTGTGGGTAGGCATAATGATCTTTTTTGCCAACAAATTTAGATCCTTTATTTTATGTGGCTCTCATCCTTGAACTCCAGTCTTTTAATAAATTGATGTTTGCAGGTGTCCTTCATCCTGGGACGCTGACTGCTGCCAGGTGAAGCAGGGGTGAAACAGTATTAGTGGCATTACAGGAAAAGCTTTACACTTATGGACTGGGACTCCTAGAATAAAAGTAATAAAATGTGTATTTTTTAAAAGCAGAACCTATTTAATAGGTTATTGCCCAATGCTTTGGGTTCTGTGGATACTTGCTTTTTTCCATGTGTGTTTGATTTTTTTCTAGTTTGTCTGCCTTGCCTCTCTCCTTTTTTTTTTTTAATGGATAATTGGTCAATTTTTTTCTAATTATTTTTTTCTAGCAAACTCTAGTCACTCGTAGTTCATGTACATCTTCATTGATCATCTTACGCTTTTGAGGGACAATATTTTGTGGGAGGTCACACATTGCTTCACTCTGAACTGGCCCCCAGTAATAAGGGAGAGGAACTTTAATTATGACTCAGACTGCTAAAATTCACATAATTCATGGGGAGGGGGAGAATCATGTTATTCCAAATGTCTTGATTTCCATTTTTGCATTTATCTGTTAATGGCATCATAACTTTTTAAGTTAAAACTTGCAGGAGCTTTGCCAGACAACTTTTAATTCCATTCACTGCCTATCAGCTGGGTCCTGTCTACATTAATAAGCTGGCCATTTGTTGCCTCAACAACCTTCTTCTTAATATTACATAATTTCAAAATGTTGCCACCCATATTACCATATTGGCATTTTATAGCCCTGTGACATAGTTAAGCAAATATTATTTTGCCTATTTGACAAATGAGAACATAGGGCACAGTGAGGCCTGTTCTCTTTCCTAAATTCAAATAGGTAATCTGTGAACTGACCTAGCACTAGAACAATCCATGTTGAGTAGCATATTGCCTTGCTGAAACTGTGGCCTCTATCAGTAATGTTTTATTTCTGGACTTGAAGTTTCAGATTTTATTGTAACTGACTTTTAAAGATCGTATTTTCACTTAAACATAATTTGTCATAAGGAAGCCCAGTGCTGTAACAGGTTGTCACTTTCTGGTACCTTCCAGTGACCATATTGAGAAAAGTTGAATCACTGGGAAATAGAAAAGTTGATATTCTCTGTAAAATCTGAAAGTCTGTAGTATTTTTTCAAAGCTGAAAATAACAAGAGACTAGATGGCACAAATACCAGTCAAAGATAGCTTCTGGATCCAATATGGAATTATTTTAAACTTTCTTGAACCTTCTTTCAATGCTAAATTAACATTTGCCTTTTTTTCACATTTTTTACTCTATGCTTTTCATAACATTTCTTTACAAACTATCATAAATTTAATATACTGATACCTTATGGACATGAGTATTGTCAAGACATGCAGTAGGAGCTTGATGAATTAAACTCACCATTCCATCATAACTATGAAAAATTATGTCCATTTGAGAAAGGGCCTTGACTTTCCCAGCATGAGCTTTAATATGAACCCCCTTTGGGGCATCCATGCTTAGACTTCGTGTAGGAGATTCTAATCTGAAATGAGAGAAATAAATCAAGGAAAAATAGTATTTTAAAAAGCCACTCCAAGAATGCCTCAATGAACAGCTTAGCACAGAAGATATAATCAGTAAGATATATATAGTACTTTCACATCATTCTTGAATGCTAATGAAATGTACATTATTCATTTAAAAATCCAGAAATAACGTGTAGTAAAGAAATTCACTTCCTATCTATGAGAGTCTATTGAAATAGTATCCTGTAAAAACAGATAAAACAGTAGAGAGCCCTAATCCAATGCAATAACTTCAGATGGCATGGTTAAGCACTCTGGCATTCCACTACCAGAAGAAAATGCTATTTGTGAATAATTTTTTATTTATTTATTTATTTATTTATTTATTTTATTTATTTTTTTTAGCTAAGGCACAAACTTGTCTGGAAAAAACAGACAAATTTAAGGGCAACATGTGCATCTGCTACATGTTCAAAAACAAGAATGTAAGTTAGGCATTCAGATTTGGTTGCTTTTTAAAACAAAAATTAGAAAAGTTACAGGGCAGATACAAAGATTTCTTTTGGAAAAATATTGAATTGATGAAGTTAATAACACAGGATGGAAACTGACCTCGGCTGGCTTGATAGTATACTCATAAAATTTATCAGAATATCTCTGTGATTAAGTCAAACATAATACAGGAATTCTAGTAATATTATATGTACCAGAAAAAATTCTCCTACTTTTCTCTGCCTGCAAAACACTGAATTTCCACTTGATTGCACAATGTGAATACTTGAAAGATTTTTCAGTTGTTCCAACCCAACCCAACTCCAAAGTTCGAAAGGCTAATTGATTGACATGTTTAAAAGGTCTATGAGAGGGAGAACAGAATAGAAAATGGTCTGCATCCTCCAGAAGTGTAAGATTAGAGTGCAGGTGGGTCACTGAGAGAAAAAAGGAAGTGATGAAGAAAAGAGAAGTACCCTTTTGTATAAAATACAAATATACTATTGGAATCAATATTTAGAGGTGAAGGCTTTAGGCTTGGGGAGGTGCGGGGGGAGGGGAAGAGAGGCGGGGAACCCCTTCCCAAGCCTAAAGCCTGGGGTGGAGGCTTTTGGCTTGGGAAGGGGCTGAGCTTGGGATCAGAGGGAAGGGGAAAATATCAGTGGAAACATATCCTCAGGTGAGAATAAAAAGAAAAACAAAGAAAGAAATGTCATATCCTATGAAAGACACATCTTGAGAATGCTTAAAGAAAGTTGTCATGTTTTCATGGTTAAGGGACTGGAGTCTGTGTTGATGAAAACACCTTGGCGGCTATGGTGACTGCAGCAGTGGGGTAATGGTCTGGTGCCTTCCCCTGATCAGCCCGGTCACCTCAAGCAATGGGAGGCAAGACTGCAGCTTAGATCATCCGTAGGACATCCCCTGAGGGCTCCCAGTATGTGAAAGTGGAAAGGCTGGGCTCAGGGACCTCTCCCCAGTGCATGAATTTCGTGCACTGGGCCCCTAGTATTTATGTGTATGTGTATCTCTATATATAAAGAGCCAGGGGCCGTCACATCTGAAACAACCAAACAACAGAACAGGCTTAGTGGGGTGACAAGGCCAGCAGGGGGTTAGTGAAGGTTGACCAAATGACTAAAAAAGCAGGCTGTGTGGGGTGACCAAACAACTGAACACCAGCCTGTTGAGGCTACCAGGCCAGCGAGGGGGTTAGTGAGGGATGACCAAAGGACCAAACAGCAGGCTGCATGAGGTGACCAGGCTGGCAGGGGGGCAGTGAGGAGTGACTAAGCTGGCAGAGGGGTCAGTAAGGGGCGACCAGACCAGCAGAGGAGGCACTTGGGTACGACAAGGCTGGTGGGGGGTGTGAGGGACGACTAAGCCAGAAGGGGAGAGGGGGGCAATTAAGGGTGACCAGGCCAGCGGGGGGGGGGCAGTTGAGGATAACCAGGCCAGCAGGGGGGACAGTTGGTGGTGACCAGGTTGGCAAAAGGCAGTGAAGGATGACCTGGCCCGCAGAAGGGGGCAGTGAGGGGCGACCAGGCCAGCAGGGTGAGGGCAGTTGGGGCGACCAGGCTGGTGGGGGCATAGTTAAGGGCGATTAGGTCAGCAGGCAGAGGCAGTTAAGGGTGATCAGGCATGCAGGCAGGTGAGCCAGCGATCCAGTATTGTGAAAGGGGTATCCAACTGCCGGTTTAGGACCTATCCCCAGGATCTAACCTAAACAGGCAGGCAGACATCCCCCATGGAGTCCCAGATTAGAGAGGGTGCAGGCTGGGCTAAGGGACCTCCCATCCCATGCATAAATTTTGTGCAATAGGCCTCTAATATAAAGAATAAATGTCTAGGTGAAGTAGGTGATTTTATGTAAAAATATAGCAAAGTTTGAGAGCATTATTCTAAGTGTTATGAGACAGTTATAAAAAGACACAAACTCTATGATTTCACTTTATGAGGTACCTAGGATAGTCACTTTCATAAAGACAGAACACAGAATGGTGTTTGTCAGGGACTGGGGAGAGGAGAATGATAAACTTTTTAATGGGCCCTGGCTGGGCAGCTCAGTTGGTTAGAGCATCATCCCGATACACCAAAGTTCCATGGTTGTGGGTTCAATCCCCAGTTGGGGCACATACAAGAATCAAGCAATGAATGCATAAATAAGTGAACAACAAATCTCTCTTTCTCTCTTTCAAATCAAGCAATAAAAAAGAAAAAGTTGTTTAATGGAGACAATTTCAGTTTTACAAAATGAAAAGTTCTAGAGATGATGGTTGCACAGCAATGTGAATGTTCTTAATACTTCTGAACTGTACACTTAAAGGTATTTAAGTTAGTAAATTTTGTGTTATATGTATTTTACCACACTTAAGCTATACTGTATATACGTCATCATTTTTCCAACATTTTTTGCAAATATGAATTTATCATGCAGTTGATTTATCTCATATTGCTCTTTCTCTAATATTTCCCAATGATACTTTTTCCCATTGATTTGTAGACAGAGCGAAAGTGGGGAGAAGGGGAGAGAAACATTGATTGGTTGCCTCCTGCTCCCACCCTGACTGGGGCTGGAGTTACATTCCTTTGATCAGAAATCCAACTTGTGACACTAACCACTGAGCAAACTAGCAAGAGCTACAGTACATGTATTTTATTAAATGTTTTATAAATTGACATTTTCAAGAATGCTTGTAGTAAATTTCAAGCTCACAAAGACACCATTTCTTTCACTAAAGGTGCAAATATTTTGCCCTGTTTGCAGCTGTATTAGAGATGGGTAGCATAACAAGAAAATATCAATTTTTTTCTGTTAAAAATTGTGAACAATTTCAGGAAACTCATGCTAATACTTTTCATGGAAAAACGATGGCTCTGTGAAACACACAAATCATAAGCCCACAGCTTATGAACTAAATGAACTAAAATTTGAGGCATAAGTTGATATTCCTGGTTCTCCAAGAGAAGAAAGGGCAGTCCAGTCAGAAGGGACAGCCTGTATAAGAGGATGGAGTGAGGTGGATGGCAGCACTGAAATCTGGGAGGACAGATCAGGCAGGGGTGCTGTGAGGGCTCAAGGCTGGACAGCCATCAGGAAGAGCTGATAACTATGGAAGAAATTGAAGCAATCATCAAAAAGCTTCCAGCAAACAAAATCCTGGGACCAGATGGCTTCACTGGGAAGTTTTACCAAACATTCAAAGGAGAATTAAAACCTATCCACCTCAGACTATTCCAAAAAATTCAAGAGGAAGGAATACTCCCAATCTCATTTTATAAAGCTAGAATTACCCTAATACTGAAACCTGATAAAGACAACACAAAGAAAGAGAATTGCAGGCCAATATCCCTCATGAACATAGATGCCAAAATCCTCAACAAAATTCTAGCATTACATCAAAAAGATCATACACCATGACCAAAAAGGATTTATTCTAGGGATGCAAGGATGGTACAGTATCCACAAATCAACAAATGTGATAATCACATAAATAAATTGAAAGATAAAAATCACATAGTAATATCAATTGATGCAGAAAAAGCATTTGACAAAATCCAACACCCTTTTTTGGTTAAAAAAAAAAAAAAAAAAAAAAAAAAAAAAAAAAAAAAAAAAAAAACCCTCAGCAAAGTGTAAATAAAGAGACCATACCTCAACATAATAAAAGTCTCATATGACAAACCTATAGCTATCATCATCTCAATGTGCAAAACCTAAAAAAAAAAAAAAAGAAAGAAAGAACAAAAGAAAGAAAGAAAGAAAGAAAGAAAGAAAGAAAGAAAGAAAGAAAGAAAGAAAGAGAAAGAAAGAAAGAAAGAAAAAGAAAGAAAGAAAAAGAAAGAAAGAAAGAAAGTAATCACCTAAGAAAAGGAACAAGACAGGGGTGCCAACATTCACCATTCCTGTTCGATATAGTACTGGAAGTGCTAGCCATAGTGATTAGACAAGAAGAAATAAGTTACCCAAATTAGAAAAGAAGAAGTAAGACTGTCATTATTCAGAGATGACATAACACTATACATAGAAGACCCTCAAGACTCCACCAAAAATTATTAAACTTAATAAATTAATTTGGCAGAATTCAAAATTAAACCCCAGAAATCTATGGCTTTTTTTTATACCAATAACAAACTCAGAGGAAGAGAAACTGAAAGAAAAATCTCATTTACCATCGCACCAAAAAAAAAAAATGAAGATACCTAGGAATAAACTTAACTAAGGAGGTAAAAGACCTATATGCAGAAAACTACAGGACACTGAAAAAAGAGAAAGAGGAAGACATAAAAAGATAGAAGAACATACCGTATTCATGGATTGATAGAATCAACATAATTAAAATGTCCATACTACCCAAAGCAATCTATAGATTCAATGAACTCCCCATTAAAATACCAACAGCATATTTCACAGATCTAGAAGGAACTCTCCATAAATTCATCTGGAATAATAATAATAATAATAATAAAGACCTTGAATAGCTGCAGCAATCCTAAGGAAGAAGAATAAAGTAAGAGTGATCTCAATACCAGATGTCAAGCTATATTACAAGCCACTGTTCTCAAAACTGCCTGGTACTGGCCTAAGAACAGACAAATGGACCAATGGAATAGGGTAAAGAACCCAGAAATCAACCCAAACAACTATGCTCAATTAATATTTGACAAAGGAGGCAAGAGCATACAATGGAGTCAAGACAGCCTCTTCAATAAATGGTGTTGGGAAAATTGGACAGATAGGTGCAAAAAAGAAACCCAAACCACCAATTTACACCATACGCAAAAATAAACTCAAAATGAATAAAGGACTTAAACATAAAATGGGAAACCATGAAAATATTAGAGGAATCCACAGGTAGGAAAATCTCAGACATATGCCGAAGCTATATCCTCACCAATACAGCTGCTAGGGCAATGGAAACTAAAGAGTTAATAAACAAATGGGATTACATCAAATAAAAAACTTCTGAACAGCAAAAGAAAGCATCAACAAAACAACAGAAAGCCCACTGCATGAGAGAACATAGCAAATGTTACCTCAGATAAGGATTTAATCACCAACATTTACAAGGAACTAATACAACTTAATAAAAGGAAGATAATCCAATAAAAAAAAAATGGCAACAGACCTAAATAGACACTTTTCAAAGGAGGACATACAGAAGACCAAGAGACATATGAAAACATGCCTAAAGTCACTAACCATCTGAAAGATGCAAATCAAAATGACAATGGGGTACCATCTCACACTTTCAGAATGGTTATCATCAACAAATCATCAAATGACAAGTGCTGACGGAGAAAAAGGAACCCTTATGCACTGCTCATGGAAATATAGACTGGTGCAGTCACTCTGGAGAACAGTATGGAGTTTCCTCAAAAACCTAAAAATGGAACTCCGATTTGACCTCACCCAGTGATCCCACTTCTAGGAATATATCCCAAGAAACTAGAAACACCAATCAGAAAGTATATATGCACCCCTATGTTCATAGCAGCACAATATGCAATAGGTGATATTTGGAAACAGCCTAAGTGCCCATCAGCAGATGAGTGGATTAGAAAACTGTGGTACTTCTACACAATGGAATACTATGCTGCTGTAAAAAGGAAGAAACTCCTACCATTTGTAATAACATGGATGGGACTGGAGAGCATTATGCTAAGCAAAATAAGTCAGTCAGAAAAAGGTAAATATCACATGATCTCACTCATTTGTGGAATATAATGAACAACATAGACTGAGGAACAAAAACAGATCCAGAAACAGAGAAGCATCGATCAGACCGTCAAACCTCAGAGGGAAGGGGGAAGACATCAATCAAAGGACTTGTCTGCATGTATATAAGCATACCCAATGAACACAGACATTCAGGGTAGACACTAGAGGTGAGGGCACGAGTGCAGGGCTGTGGCGGGCTATGAGAGGGGATAAGGACACATGTGTAATATCTTAATCAATAAAGAATAAAACTCTCGTGGGCAAAAGAAATCAATCTCATTACAATTGCTAAAATATTATTCTATCACTTAGCCAGGTGTCTTCTATAAATGAGTATGTTTATATTTGAACAACATTTTTACCTCAACTCCTGAAATGGGTCAGCTGTTACGAGGGGTGTTTCTACTGAATGTTCAAAAAGAGCTCCTTCAGGCCCTAAACAAAAAACAAAGATTCATCATCTTACAAAAGTAAAATTAGTGACACATCAAACAGAATATTTAGACTATACAAAAGCACAAGTAAGTTCTGATCTTTGTTGTTGAATTTGTGCAGGAAATAAAAAATAAGCATGCCCTGGTCAGTTGCTCAATTGGTTGGAGTATTTCCCCAAAGAATGAAAGGTTTTGGGTTTGATTCCTGGTCAGGGCACACATGTAGGTTGTGGTTTTGATCCCCAGTTGATGAGATATGTATGAGAAACAACCAATCAATGTTTCTCTCTCTCTCTCTCTCTCTCTCTCTCTCTCTCTCTCTCTCTCTCTCTCTCTCTCTCTCCATCCCTCCCTCCCCCCCTACTTCCTTCCTCTCTCTAAAATCCATAAAAACATATCCTCCAGGACCTTGAACCTTCAGGAGCAAGATGGTGAGTGTGTGGAGGCTGGGTGTCCCCAAAGAGGCAGAATTCTCTTCCTCTGAACCCCAGAGGGGGGGTCAGACTTGCTCAAATCTCAGCATTTCTCCAGAACCAACCCACCCACGCACATTCACCTGTCACCCAGCTGCCTTCTGGTTCCAAGGCTGCACCTCTTCACTGGACTGGTGAGGGGGTTGTCAGTGTTTTGCTTCTGGGCCTACTTTCATCTGTGTATTTGAATCCTTCCATTGTGATGGGCTACTCCCTGGCTGTGGTCCTCACTCTCCATGGTCATGGGGCCTTGGGAAAGTTGTTACTGTATTCAAAAGGATGCATTGCAAAAAGCTCCCAAGGCAGGCCTTTTGGCAATTTCACCTCTCAGCTTTCACCTTTGCTGAGCTTTGTTATTTCAACTATCACAATGTGGGCATCTGCAAAGATCTTGCCATGCTATGGAAGCTCAGACCTTCTTGACTTAATACCTGGAAAATTGATTGTACACCTCTTTCCCTATGCTCTGTCATGCCATTAATCTCACAATAAGAAAGAAATAACAGAGAAGTCCACTGGTGAGATAAACCTTTTCTAATCACCTGGCTAGTTTTAGAATTTAATCTGTGAGGAAAAGATTTAAGAAGAATAATAGCCAAAAAATTGTGAGATTGAGTTAGTTCCACATCCTGGCGAGTGAATGAGGTTGTCCTCCAGTTTCTCAAGAGGCTCACAATATAACTAAATATTATATATGAGCTTTCACATTTTAATTTACCAAACTCTTAAAAGGAATTAAGCGTTATTACTATCAATACCTTATCAAACATCTACATTTGCCTTGGGAGTTATGGAGAAAGAAAAAAACTATCCTATATAATAAAAAACCAGTGACCATAAGCATGATGACCGGAATGACCTCTCGACCAGTCACTATGAGGTGGGGGACCAGCGAGGGGAACCAGGGGGGCCGGCAGTGGAGGTGGGGCAGGACCCAGGGCCAGCAAGGGGAACTGGCTAGCTGGTGGGCATGGTGGGGCGGGACCAGGGACTGCCAAGTGAGCCGAAGATGAGCCTGATAACAGGCTGGGCCTGGGGACCCTACCGACTCATGTTTTCATGTGCTGAGCCTCTAGTTAATTCATAAGTAAAGACTACATCAGCTTAGCCAGCATTTAATGTTTGAAAACTTTCCCCCTTTGTTCAGGTAATACCAGTCACTGATGATTATATGTCTTTGGGAAACTTTAAAGTTAGGAAATGCTAATATTTCACATTACTAATTTCTAAATCCTGGGAAAAAGAGACTGGAGAACTTCTAAATATAGAGAAGTTCCAGGCAGGGAAGAAGTACCCATGTAGAGGTATCAAAATATTACATACACATTCTAAACTGAGACTTACTCCTCAAATGTGTTCATTTTACTTGTCCCAAAATAATATCCACAAAATATAAAGTTAAATAATAAATTGTTATTTTCCCCACTGTGAGAATCTTTAATGTGAAATTTATTCTATGAAAATATAGGGTGTGTGTTTTTTAAGATTCTGTAATAAAAAAAAGAAAAACACCAAAAAAGTATATCCTTCAGTGTGGATTGAACAAATAGGCACAACTGCTCTCTTGCTTTTCCAAGGATACCACAATTTCAGTAAGTTCCTATAGACATATGCTTTTAAACCAATTCAAAATATGCAGGCTTATTATTATTATCCCAACCAGGAATCAAACCCACAACCTTTCAGTGTTCCAATTCACTAAGCCATCTGGCCAGGGCTCAGACTTATTTTAAATGTGGGAAGCGATATAAGCCCTTAAATTGAAAAAGAAGTAATTACAGTTGAAAACTGCATGTCTGTATCCTTTAGGTAATAGTCGTTTGACTCATTCTCTAGATTTTATGTGTAAAAATTGTATCTTGTGCCATTTGTTTCTTAAAACACATCAAGAAATTAGAGCAAAATAAAAAATTTTAAATATTGAAAATTGACTTTCTAATTTCTAGGAGTCATGTTGTTTCACTAGTCTGAGAATTGAATTATACACAAGACATGGTGTGAGTGGAGGCGAAGAAATACAAAGATGACAATGATATGTTCTTCGATATACCTAATTGGTTTTGATATTCAGAACTTTACAAGACAGGTGAGATTATTTTACTAAGGAGGAAATTGAGAAATAGAAAGGTTAAGTTTCCTAAAGTTACACAGTTAAAGGGCAGGACTGTGATTTGAATTCAAAACCCATACTTTTCATCTATTTGCTATAGGATTCGTCATACATAATTAACAAATACTATATAATAGAAAGCAATGTGCCAGTAGGAGTGTGCAACTAAGTTATTTTGGGTATCATCAGCAGGGGAACATTACTTTAAGGCAGGGAAGACTTTCTATAGTAAAATGCAATTGCCTTGAACCTTAAAATAAATAGACATTTGTAACTATATGGAGGTGATAGACAATAATTTTCAAGGAAAGCAGTAGTGCAGGAGCAGGAAAATGTGACCAGTGTATAGGAATGAATGAATAATCCAATTACTAGAAAAATAAAGAAGTCAACATAGAAATATTTAAAACTAGATGCCTGATGCACGAATTCGTGCACAGGTGGAGTGCCTCTGGGTGGCCTGAGGGATCAGGCCTAAACCCGCAATCCAATGTCACCCGCAGCTCCTACCTGCCACTCCCACTCATCCTGGCCCCACTGTGCCTGCTGGGGGCTTGCGACCAATCAATCCTGATCAGGAGAGGTTCGTGCTGCCTCAGCAGTGCTCACCAATCATGAGCCCTGTGACTGGTGCCCTGCTAAGGACAGTGGCCTGCAGGATTGGGCTGAAACTGGCACTTCAACACCTCCCAAGAGGTCACAAATTTTGAGAGGGCACAGGTCAGGCTGAGGGATTCCACCAGTGCGTGATCGGGCTGGAGAGAGACCATGGAAGGGCTTCAGGGCGTGTCCAGTCCATCTCACTAAGTCCTGATCAGCTGGAGCCCAACAGCAAGCTAACCTACCAGTTGGAGCATCTTCCCCAGAGGGTCAGTGCACGTCATAGTGACTGGTCAACCAGTTGACTGTTTGCTGCCTGGTGGTCAGTGCATGTCATAGCAAGCGGTTAAGCAGCCTTAGCATATCACTAGCATATTACACTTTGATTGGTTGTTCGGTTGTTCTGCTGTTTGGTCTATTTGCATATTACCCTTTTATTAAGTATACTAATAAAAGGGTAATATGCTAACTATACCAGATAGACCGGATATCCTTCTAGACAATGCCACAGTGGCAGAGCCAAGGTAGAGCCAGTTAGAGGTGATCAGGCAGTCAGGAGAAAGCAATTAGGGGCAGTCAGGCTGGCAGGTGAGCAGTTAGGAGCATCAGGCAGGAGGGCAAAGAGGTTAGGGGTGATCAGGCAGGCAGGCAGATGAGCAGTTAGGAACCAGAGGGATGTTTAGGCCCTATCCCACAATTAGACATCCCCTGAGAGCTCCCAGATTGGAGAGGGTGCAAGCCGGGCCAAGGGACCCTCCCCCCATGCATAAATTTCATGCACAAGGCCTCTAGTATAGGATATTGTAGGCATACACACAGATTTAAGTAACACCACTTTGCCTATACATACTCATCATGATTTACCTAGGTCCCTGTTCCTTTCCTGAACTGTGCCTCATTTTTAGGGTTCACCTCTGTTTTAGGATCTGTCTCTGGTCTAGGCCCCTCTCCAGACTTAGGGTCTACAACTGCAAAATACTTGTTCCGCCAAAGCCGGTTTGGCTCAGTGGTAGAGCGTCGGTCTGTGGACTGAAAGGTCCCGGGTTCGATTCCGGTCAAGGGCATGTACATTGGTTGCGGGCACATCCCCAGAAGGGGGTGTGCAAGAGGCAGCTGGTTAATGTTTCTCTCTCATCGACGTTTCTAGCTCTCTATCTCTCTCCTTCCTCTCTGTAAAAAATCAATAAAATATATTTAAAAAAAAAAAAAAAAAAAAAAACTTGTTCCTCTCCCTCTGAGTCCCCAAAAGAGTTCAACAGATATTTTCACATTTTGCAGAATTTCCTCTTTAGGGAATACTGAAAATGATTAAATGTTTATTTTTTAATTTACTCATGTACTAGTTTTGATACTTACCATTGAAAACCTGGTGAAAGTTTCCCAGATACCAAGTTGAGCAAAGTCAGCAGTCTTTCCTGATTTAACAGTTCACATTTTCTCCACAACAATACTACCTGTATTAGTTTTGTCATTATAATTACTGCTTTTCTAATAATTTTGTTTAATATAAAGACATACAAATGCACAATTCTCATTTAAGAAATAAAAGTATGTGGCAAATAAGAAAATTGAATTAAATTAGCAAAAAATGAAAATTCAAAATAACAAATCAGATGTGATAACATGATCAACACAAAAACTGTAATCAGCTGAAATAAAGGGATACAAAAGCTAAGGTTAAAAATGTATGAAAATAATATTATAATTTATGCAAATTATATTTAGATAAGAACAGATCCTCATATATGCTATAATATAACATACTCCTTAAAATACGACCTAAATGCCTGGGTGGCATAGCTCAGTGATTGAGTGTCA